GTTGTCTAGTGAACAATAAAATTCAGTTTAGGGCTGGAGAGATAGCACAGCGGGTAGGGTGTTTACCTTGCACGGACCCGACCCGGGTTCGATTCCCAGCATCCCATATGGTCCCCTGAGCACCTCCAGGGGTAATTCCTGAATGCAGAGCCAGGAGTAACCCCTGTGTATCGCCAGGTGTGATCCAAAAAGCAAAAAAAAAAAAAAAAGTCAACTCAGTTTAGAGCTCCTGACTAAATTAGGTTGAAGGGTCAAGCTTTAGAACACCTAAGTCATGCAAAGTGATTTTTTTAATTTATTTTTTTTATTATTATTTTTAAAATTTTTATCAGTGAAACAGCACAAGAAGTCGGGCAAAGTGTTTTACAGAAGTTCTGATCCTACAGATTTAGCTGTTAAAACTCTTTCTGGTCTTGTCAACTCTCACAATTCCACTAAGCAATTGCTTTCTCTGCAGATATGACATCCTGAATGATAAGATCACAAGGGCAAGAATTCCTTACTTTGATCATTGTTACATCTCTAGGGATGATCACATAATTAAATAAATTGTTATAACCATTTTTCAATAAATTTTTGGCCTATGGCTAAATAGTGTTGTTTTTATTAGATTCAAAGGTAACACAATCTTAGAACACCTTATTATTACTCCATAGCATGCATCAAAATTTATAGGTATGACTTGTTATTAATAGAATAATGTAAGTAATTATACTAAAACTAATGATAATTTGATCCATGAATAGAGTTGGCCTTTCCAGTGAGGTCACATATTTTTAAAGACATTCTTTCGTTTTTGGTTTTTGAATATTTCTTCTTTTAACATTCATATTTATTAAAAACTCTTATAAATGTTATTTCATTTAACACCACAAAAATTTATGAGGAAGACAAGTTGCTTTCATTTCAAAGAGAAAAACAACTGAGAGTTTTTGGAGGGTGCCTTGAAAACAATGCTCAGGAATCTAGAGGCCACTCATGGTGACCGTCAACCCTGGCCAATATGGTCAATACCATTATTGAAAGGTTCAATACTAGGGTCCAAGGATAAAGGGCTTCTGAGGTCTATGGTGGCAGGTACCACCAGTATCATATGTGGTAGTGCTGGCAAGGAGTCCCAGGGATCAAGTAGGAGCTGCTGTGGAAAGAGGAAGAACTCATTCCAATAAATAGACAATTTTATTGTTCATGAAATATTGCAGGAGATTCATTCCTGCTCTCTCCCTGGCCCCAAGGCTTTCTGAGTTTAAAGTTCACTGTATTTTGGCAACACAGTTAGCAAGTTTTAGACCTGTATTCACACTGAATCATTTCTATGCTGAATTTGCCTCTTAAACCAGGACTAAGTTTATCTAGTACTTTATCTCCCCTGATATCTCTCTGAGTGCTGGGCATATAGAAGCAGCTCGATGAACATGTTTTGGATGAACAAGTATAATCAAGTAACTGAAGAAACAATCATTTTTGTTCTAAACATATAACTTTGGTCCTGTCTCTTGATTTGTATTTCTCAAGTTCTGCCCCAATTTGACTAAATTTTATTAAGCAAGTTGAATCTATTGAAGACATAAAATTGCTGATGTTTTCATTGTCAGACTTATTATCCTCATTGTTGGCTTAAAAGGATTCTTGAGCATCTACTGTAGATTTTTTTTCTGATAGAGTCTTTGTTTAATTTTTTTTTTTTTGTTATTCGTGATTGAGTTTCAGGCATACAATGTTCCAACACCAATCCATGAGTGAGTGTTGTCATCTTGGATTTCCCAGCCCTTCCTCCACCACCCCTGACACACACATTTCTGTGCTACGACAGGAATTTTAAAAGAAATTTTTATTTTAGGCATTGTGGTTTACAGTATTGTTACTGTTAGGGTTTCCTACCCAATACACTGCAACTCAATAGACTCTCCCAAAGTCACCTCCTTCCATGATGTTTCTGTGTCCTGACCCCTCGCCACCATCTTATTCCCCCTCCCCTCCCCTGTGGTCTGCATCCTACTGAAAGCCAGTTCTCAGTTTCTGGTGTCTTTGGACAATTGTTATTCCTCTACTATGTTTTTTGTTATATTCTACATCTGGAAGAAATCATTCAGTGTTGGCCCTTCTCCTGACTAATTTCATTCAGTCTGATACTTTCAAAATCTACCCATGTAGAAATGACTTGCTTGATTTTATCTTTTCTGTTGCACTTTTTTAAAAATCTCAATTGTGAGAGGGAAACTCACAAGGCAAAAGGGCTTGACAAGTTAATTGAACCAATTATTTTTTATGATGAGTAAAAATAATGTCCTTCTACTTCATCCCAGTAAAACACTAAGTAGTATAATTGTTTACTTATCACTAGAATAACACAGACCTTATTTTTTTAAGCAGCATATCCCAAAGGGATTCTTAGGTATATATAGATATATATCTTGCAGTGTTACCACCAGAAAGAAAATTCCTGTTGAATGAACCGAAAATTAAATATTTTTTCAAAGTAACATGAAAAATTCTGGACTTGATTTGAAATTTCAATGAAGTGATAAATCATGTTCATGAAGTAAGTATTGCATTTAATTAACCTATGGGAAAAGGTCAGTAAACCATTATATGGACAATGAAAAAAATCTTATTTTTTAAATTAAAACTATAGCATAATTCAACTTTCTGAAATACAAAAATTTATCTTTCCTATATAAAGCCAATTGGATTGGCATCTTCACCCTCTGTCCAGCAGAGTCAATTGCAAAGAAAGAGACAGATACTGTTGTTTGTCCAGGTAGAAGCTTGCCTTGAATAAAGGGCCAGGCTAGCTATTTATTGAGTGCAATATCTACTTTGCATCACTCCTGTGACTCCTGAAACGTAATTGTTCACATTAATGTGTATACTGACATTACGTAGGTACATTAAAAATTAACAGGTACTTTAAGAGCAGAGGCTGAGATATTTGCATAACTGGGTCCATAGAATGATAAACAATGAGCAAGCACCTTTAAAATACATCGGGGTCATGGCAATCTGTTTTATTCTAGGAAGGCATTTCCTGCTTGGGTATATGTTTACAGCCCTCATTGTCTAAATTAAGCTAAACTTGTTTTATGCAAGAAACTGCCCCAACCTTTGTGAGTTCTCACAAAGATGAAATTTTTACATATTATCCTTTATTCGGCTCTTTTTTGTTCAATGAAATCATTTTATTAGATGTGTACAAGATGGGACTGAAGTAGTAGCACAGTGTGTAAGTTGCTCCTCTTGCATATAACAGACCTGAGTTCAATCCCTGGCACCCTAAATGGTTCCCTGAGCACTTCTAGGAGTGATTCCTGAGCACAGATCCAGGGGTAAGCTCTGAGAACTGCCCAGAAACAAAAGAATTTTTTTTAGATACATACAAGATGAATGGCTTCCTTCTTATTAATCATCTCTAGTTATTTCTAGCCATATGTGGGCTCTTATCTCTCCATTACACTGAAGAAAACATAGTAGGTCTATGAGTAGGTATGAGTACAGGAGCATTAATATGGGCCAGTATTTTCTTGAGATGAATATTATTAATTTAAATAAGGCATGGAATAGGAGTATCTTAATAGGAGTAATGCCATTTCCTATCTATTATTTATCTATCTACTTATAGTTCTGAAGGTCGTAAGTCTAAATTTAGTATTCATAGATTAATATTAAACTGCCAGGCCACAGTCTACTCAGAAGGGGCCATGTCTTGTCCCTCTGATTTTCTGTGGCTGCTGACATTCCTTGTGACAAGGCACACTGATCTCTGCTTCTATGGGGATATTGCTTCCTACTATTACATCTAGTGATTTGTTGTAAAATCTCCCTTTGTAACTATTGTATATATGATTGCACTTAGAGTCCATCCAGGTAACCTTCTCATTTCACGAATATGAATGCTTTCCCAGTAGAAAGCAGCATTCACAGGCTTGAGTAAAGTCTACATATCTTTATGGTTCATTCTTAAGTCTGCATATTTACTTCAGCCATTCAATTTGACCAGGTTAGCTTTTATTCTCCTAATTTTATAGGGAATTCAATGACCTTGAGAAAACAGTTATTAAATCTATTATTATTTTCCATTTCATTGTTATTTAAAAAGCCATCTGGGTAGCTCTTGTATCAGATTGCTATTATTTAAATAAGTATCTCCACATTTGTTTTGTGCATAGCTGTGAATTAGAGAGAAATATATAAACATATGCCTCTTGGAGAGCCTGGCAAGCTACTGAGTATCCCGCCCACACAGGCAGAGTATGGCAAGCTTCCCGTGGTGTATTAGATATGCCAAATACAGTAATGACAACAGGTATCATTCCCCTGACCCTGAAAGATCCTCCAATTGTTGTGAAAAAACGAGTAAGAAGAGGCTGCTAAAATCTCAGGGCTGGAAGAAATAGAGACGTTACTGGCACCTTCTTGAGTAATTCGGCCATCAACGGGATGATGGTGATACAGTGATAACCATGAATAACAAGTTGAATAAAAATATAATTATTGCATTCAAGGTATTTATTATAAATGGTCTTCTAGTGATATCCCCAAATATGGTTAAAATAATAAAAGTCTGCTTCTTTATGTAATTCTCTATGAAAGGCAACATAACTCCAGGACCTGAAGAGAAACTTGAGCATTTGTTCAGACTCCCTTTTTCATACTTTCCTCAGAGCCCCTTGTTACCCTACCTGTCAATAGAAGAGATGGTTAAAAATCATCCTATTTAAAAAGGAGAAAAGATTAGTTTTAAAATATATGCTGAAATGTACTATGTTATGTGCATAATTCTAATCTCTCAAGGCAGCATAGAATTGGTTTCTCAGTTATCTAAAAAGAAACATGTCCATGAAAGAATAAATGTGTCTTACAAAGCACAACATATATGCCTAAATCATATTTTTTTCAATAATCTAAAATGGCAAATGATAGTTGAAATTGAAATATTGATATTCTAAAGAATGTCTGTTAATCTTTTTGTACAGAGGTTTCACCCCAGGCGTTCATTATTAATGGATGAGAAAAACTTCACCCAAGTGAAAGAGTTCATACTTTTAGGGTTCACAACAGACTTGTGGCTACAGAGAGTGCTTTTTTTCATCTTCCTCCTCATTTATATCATCAGTCTCCTTGGGAACATCACCCTGATTTCACTGATCTGTGGTGATTCTCGGCTCCACACCCCCATGTATTTCTTCATAGGAAATTTGTCATTCCTGGATCTCTGGTATTCTTCTGTCTATGCTCCTAAAATTCTGATGACTTGCATCTCCGAAGATAAAAGCATCTCCTTCGCTGGCTGCCTAGCTCAATTCTTTTTCTCTGCTGGTCTGGCCTACAGTGAGTGTTACCTATTGGCTGCCATGGCTTATGACCGCTACGTGGCCATCTCCAACCCCTTGCTTTATACCCAGGCCATGTCCTCAAGGTTATGCATCTGTCTTGTTGCAGTTTCCTATGCTGGTGGCTTTCTTAACTCCACCATCATTACCAGTGAGACTTTCACCTTAAGCTTCTGTGGAAACAATATCATTGATGACTTTTTCTGTGATCTGCCACCTCTTGTAAAGTTAGCCTGTGATGTGAAGGAAAGTTACCAGGCTGTTCTCTATTTCATTCTTGCGTCCAATGTGATTACTCCCACTGTGCTTATTCTTGCTTCCTACCTCTTCATTATTGCTGCCATCTTGAAGATCCGCTCCACCCAAGGTCGCCTCAAGGCCTTCTCCACTTGTGGCTCTCACCTGACAGCTGTCACTTTGTACTATGGTTCCATCCTTTTCATTTACTCCCGGCCAAGTACTAGCTATGCCCTTGAAAGGGATAAAGTGGTATCTGTGTTCTATACCGTAGTCATTCCCATGCTAAATCCATTGATCTATAGCTTAAGAAATAAAGATGTTAAAGAGGCCCTGAGAAAAATGATAGAGAGAGTGAAGTTTTTCTAGTTGAAAATATGTGTCAAACATGGCCGCATTTGTTTCATAGATTATTTTCATGTCATTGTTTTCAGTCTGTAGTCTGAAACGTAAATACCAAAAAATGCTGGGGATATTTATAATAGCATAATAAATAATTATGCTATCTACTCGCTATATGAAAAGACCAATCTGCATTTGTCTTCTATAAGTTGACACACAGGTACTGAAATTTGATTTGTATTTATTTATTTATTTATTTATATTTTGTGGTGCCAGGGATTGAACCCAGACATAGCATATGACAAGAAAATGCTGTTCTATTGAGCCAGATTTTTAACACTGAATATGATTTTTAAATAATAAAAATAAATAATTTATAGTTATAAAATTATAAATTTATAATTATAAAAAATTATAATTTTTAAACAATAAAATTTTTAAAAAATAAACAATTGGGCTGGAGTGACAATATAGCAGGCAAGGCAATTTGCCCTGCATGAAGCCAACCAAAATTCAATCCCCGGCACCTTGTACAGTGAGGTTCCCCCAAGACCTGCCAGTAATGATCCATGAGCACAGATTGGGAGGATTACCTTGAGAATTGTTGGGTGTGGCCTCCAAACAATAAATAAATAATAAGAAACAATAAATGAGGTCATTCATAAAACAAAACAAACACATGCTAGTTTGGAATTTTTACTGACCTCCCCCTCCGTTCTCCCATCCCCTAGTAAAGATGACAGAAGTTACGTTACAGAAATGATACTTGTACTTAGAGTAAGACTTGGCACAATAAGATAGAGCATGCCTGTTTGAGTTTAGTTGGTGAAACAAACACTGGTAAACCAATTTTTTTTTAAAATTTTATCATGTGCATATATGGGAAAGACTACAGAAAGCACTGTAAGGAATGCTCTTTGGGTTATAGAAATTTTAGTGAGGAGAGCAATTTTATAAAATACTTGACAGTTCATAAACTGGTTTTATGCATAATATTTTAATTTATAAGTGAAAATAATAAAAGTAGTCATGCATCTTGAGGATTAAATGTCAGACACGTCAAATTGTATCATTCACAGATGAGAACATAGAAATGCAGACTTAAGTGTGCTGACTCCAAAGACTCCTACTCCCTTTTTCTAGAGATTATATTAAAAAATCATAATAAAAAATGTTTGTTTTAAAATGCCCATACAAGTATTTACTTTTAAGTTTTTATTTACTGACCTGATGAGATGCAAAGATTTGCATGGAAATAGATACAGGAAAAACAAATATTCTTAAAGTCATGATGAACATTAAATAAGAGTGTATTCTATATATAATAGTCATTTTTATAGTATGAGGTAAATTGATAGCTCATTTTTGTATGAATTTTCATTTCTTTCAGAAGAAGAGATAGTAAATAGCTTTTCATATACACCTAGCTATTAGTTCTTTACATCTCTTTGGAGAAATGTCTACTCAGATTATTATGTCCATTTAAAATGTAAGGTTTGTCTTTATGCTATTGTTGAATTTTATGAGTTCTTTTATCAATATTTTATATAATTTTAAAGATATTTTAAGGAGCTGGAGTCATAGCATAGCAGGTAGGGCATTTTCCTCTCACATTGCCGACTTGGGTTCTAATCCTAGTATCCCATATGGTCCTCTGAGCACCGCCAGGAGTAATTCCTGAGTGCGAAGCCAGGAGTAACTCCTGTGCTTCGCCAGGTGTGACCCAAAAATTAAAAAAAAGATATTTTAAATATATTAAATATGTCGGTTTTTTGTATATTTTATCTAATATTTTACACATTAACTTTTTGTTGGAGATATGATCAGCAAATATTTTTTCTACTCAGTAGAAGCTTTTCACTTTGATTCATGTTTATTTCAGTAAAATTATCTTGAATTTTAGACTGATGGGGTCTTATTATTAACATTTGCTTTTGGGAGCTGGAGCGATAGCACAGTGGTTAGGGTGTTTGTCTTGCACATGGCAGACCCCAGTTCAATTTCCAGCATCCCATATGGTCCCCCGAGCACTGCCAGGAGTATTTCTGAATGCATGAGCCAAGAATAACCCCTGTGCATAGCCAGGTGTGACCCGAAAAGCAAAAAAAAAAAAAAAAAAAAAAAAGAAAAAGAAACTTGCTTTTGTTTCCCTTGCAATTGGAGTTAGGTCTTTAACTCCAATTATTTAACTCCAATACCATCTCTAATGATGGTATAAAGGAAGTTGTCACTGATGTTTTTTCCCTATGACTTTCATGATTTTAAGGTTTAACCCTAATCTTTAATGCATTTCAAATTATTTTCTGTGTATAATGCTATAGTGGTAATAATTTTATTACCAACATTGCTTATTGAGGAGACTTTCTTTGCTCCACTGTAAACTGTTGGTTATGGTTACGACAGCATTATAATAGTGAAGAACTCCTGACAACATAAACACTCATTTATGGACCTAAGGGTAAAGAAGAAATGCTCTATCTATATATCTACCTATCATTCATCTATATGTCTCTATATATTTCTATTATATAAACTAGTTCTATCATCTATGTATCTATTATCTATATATGACTACACCAATAAATAACCCTTCTATATATCTATACCACATATCTATATACTTACAATTAATTATAAGTTTATCCAAAGATGAAATTCTCTTATATGGAACAATATGATTAGCTACAAAGGGTATCTTAAAAAACACAGGTGAAGAAATAAAGCCTGTGATATTACTCATGTGTGGTGTATAGATAGAAAATCAGCAGGAGTTGAACTTAATAAAAAAGTAAACTGGAAAATATGATCAAATATAGTTACAAAAGGAAGGGAGAATTGGTATGTGTATATCAGGATAAAGTGTAAGCTGTGTGATAAAAGGTAGAATTGTTTCTTTAGAGGTGAAATTAATGTAGTACATACATATTGATTTTTAATTCATACACAATTGCAACTTATATATAATGGTAAAATGTAATGCAGACAAAATTGCAACTTATATAGTGGTAAAGTGTAATGCTATCCCAATAAAATTAATTTAAATAATAGTTGATGGTAGAGGGACTGCACTTTTATACACCATAACCTTGAATATGAACACCTTGTAAGTGTGTCACTTCAAGAAAAAGGAAAGAAAAATCAATTTTAAAAGGAGTTTTTCTTTCCTTCTCCTTTCTACACTCTGTCTAAAACTATAACCCGACTATTAATTTCTTTGTAAATCACAGCATTTTAATAAAATAAAATTAAAGAAAATGAATGCAACCTAGCTATAGTAAATGTTTTGTCATTATATATGTGTGTGTTTCCAAATAATTTAAGAATTAATGAAAAAAGCACAGTCCTTTTTTTAAACAACCAGAAATGGAGATATAGAAATAAATAAATAGGTTCAGAAACAATTGATTTTTCTCCTAAGATGAGAACTATAAATCTCTGTTAGATAAAACATTGCAGACAAAAATTAAGGTTCCATGAATATTACTGTTCCTGAGTGGGTGGTGGTCATCGTCCCACCTGTAATGACCCAAGGGTCCACTTGGTGAGTTCACCATACCCGACCCCCCTCTGCCCCACCTGCCCCGCACACACACAGCCAGTCTGCTAATTGTGAAGGATGAACAAAGGAGGGAATGGGGTTGCCACCAGGCTGGTTGATTATCAGTGGTTATTTATTCAACTTTTACAAGGGTAGTTATAGAGAAATCATGAAGGGTTGGAGGTAACAATTACATATAGTAGTGTTTGAACATTATCATAAACAATGAACAGGTGCAAAGCCCTTCCTTCAAGGGAAGTTCTAGGAGATACTCAAGGACAAAATCTCATCTTACGTGTTCAGCACTCTAGATTCCTGCTAGGAGATCTGCCCAAGGATCGAATTCCATCTAAGGGTGTATTGCTTTTCCCTTTTTCTTAGTATCCATTTCAACAGTCATCTTAAATTTACTTCTTAATAATATTTGTAGTCATTTTGTATGGACACAGTAAGAGATATACTGAGCTTAAAAAGTGACTTTTTCTGGAAATATCCCACTATATATCCCAGACTACAGTCCTCAGTCCAAGTTATTCTTTCCTAACCCCATCAGGACCCTTATTTAGTTACTTTTGGAGGCGCGGATCATGACAGAGTTTGATCCATAACCATGATTTTAAGTTGTTGTACTTCTTAGGGTGCTTAGCCTGTCCCTTTTCAATGCCAGGGTAGCTTACAGCTTGTCCTAGTCCTTCCTTGTCCCTTGGAGGGACCCTTGTTTTGAGGTCTTAGAAAGTAAGGGCAACTGAAGCTTAAGTTAAGTAAGTATGAAAGACACCCAGACATAAATATTATTCCGAGTCCATTAACTCCCAAAAGTTACAAAAGCATAGCATTAACTGTTTTCCTATGTCTACAAAAAAAGGAGATTGCTCTAACGTAAACGATGCAAAGGACATAAAAGAAAGGGAAAAGCAATATTTCACTTACACATACAGAATCCAGAGTTCTCAGAAGAATTTGACTTTACAAGTCACAGGGTTTGATTCGAGGATAAGTGATTAACAGATAGGGGAAGAAAAGCACAAAGGAGAGGTTAAAGATAAACACAGAGGATTGGGAATGCCTGTTGAAACTGAATGTGCCTCAGGAGCACTGTGGTGTGAGTGACTCAATAAACCTAAGCTTCCTGTGAGAGGAGAAAGGACAAATCAATGTTAAATTTAAAATGTTTAGAACTATAATCCAACACAGGAATGCATTATTTTATTTATTATTTAGTTTTATGTTTGAATTAATAAGTAGAAGATAGGTTATTATGATATATCACATTTCTTGTATGCAAAACCCATAGAGTTGTCTCAAAATAAAAAAAAAGACTAGTATTGATAAGAAATTCTACTATTTTTTTAAGGCTGTCATACCAAATAACACAGACTATGATATTGTAGTAAGTATTAAAAACAGGTCGATTCTAAACATTATGACCACTTAATACCTCTATTGCAAACCACAACACACGGGGGGGGGGGGAGAGAGAGAGAGAGAG